CTTCTCTAAAGGACTGCAGTGCAGATGGTCAAATATCTCAAAGTCTCATACAATTTAAAAAAACAAAACAAAAAACGTTCTGTTAGAAAATGTAACATTGCATTCGCACAGGGATGGTGAAGTGAGCATAATATATACAAAAATCTAAACAATTGTAATTTATAATCAGTCCTTTTATAAAAAATATTTAGATGTTAATAATCTCTGTACGTGTGATAATGTTTGTGCAAAGTTTCGCTCAGATTGGCCAACCTGTTAAAGAGGCGATGAGGTATATACAGACAGATGATCATGCGTAGCACATGATCATCTGTCTGTATATACCTCATCGCCTCTTTATCATTATAGATCATTATAGTAAGAGGATGGAAAGTGGCACGCACTGTGCTGCACTCTGAAAATCATCCGTCCAATAATGGTTGGATCGCATGGGCACAGTGTGACACACATATGTGTCACAAATAGAAAAGTAGAATGACAGGAAGCCGATGCATATAGCACACACGAAGACACTGTCGCCTCAAAAGATGACATAGTAATGATATGGAACAGCCTATGCAGCACTAATTTTGCTCGACCTTGTGGTCAGCGTGGTGCATGAAAGAGCATCTTCAGTCTTTGTGGCCAGATGTCTGCACAGTTACAGTGCATTTGTTTTTCTTTAGATATGTAACTAATTCTGCAGTGTACCTCACTAATAATTCTTTTTATAGAGTGCGTCCTCTGTCAGATGGCAGTAACCCGTGGTCCACCAGCCTGGTGAAGTCCCAGAAGTCTGTCCCTCTTGCTGCCCTGTTTGCCGAACAAGGTGAGCTAAAACTGTGGTGACATTAAATTTGTTTAAATGGTGCTTGGATTTATAAGGAGCAGGTATTTATTGATATTTCCACTCCTGTGTTTTTAGCAGGGAACAGTAAAGATGAGACTTTCTCCCAGGAATGTTCTGACAGCAGCTCCAAACCAAAGCAGCTCAAGTTCCCCAACCAGGTGTACATCGATCTACCTCTGTGGAGGGACGAGCAGCAGACTCAGATTTGCCCTGGTGGAAACTGCGTGACAGGAGATGCTGGAGTGGGATTAGCAGGTCAGAGCGGCCAACCAGAGACTCCAGACGACCCATATACCACCACATCCACTTCATCCACCTCAACTACCCCACAGCTTACACCAACCAACAGCCTGAAAAGGACATCAGGTCGCCGCAAGACCGACGCTGTGCTGTATGGCTGCGGTTCGCTGCTGGCTTCGGTTGTGCTCGGTTATGACATCAGGGAAGCCCTGAAAAACTCAGCTGCTGGCGAAGACTGCGAGCCCCCGAAAGAGGAGAAAGAGAAGAAAAAGAAAGAGGGCCTGTTTCAACGCGCAACCCGTTTCCGCCGCAGCACCTCACCACCAAGCGGTCGCTCCCGTAAAGACGAGGGAACGTCAAACCACAACTCCCCCCAACCTGTCAATCTTATTTCCATGTCAGCCATCATGGAGTACAACTCCACCAAGTGTCTCTTACAGTCTGAAGCGGAGATGTCGGAGTCTAACCCTGTGAAGGCTGAGCATGTGGCTGTCAATCATCACACAGAGCCATCCAGATGCAGCCCAGCAGCAGTTCCAGAAGGCCAGAGTAACAAGACTGCAGCTAAAACGCAGACAGCGGTGCAAACCCAAAGCCAGCCGCCAGAGCAGACCAACCACAACCCAGCAGCACGTCTACGCAGAAAGAAATACACCACCAACCACAACAGTGAGTAACTAACAAAAAGTGAGAAAACTTGTATATACAGGTTTAAAAAGGATTCCCACTCCAAAAATGCATCTCCCTGTTTGTTCACAGCCAATGGCCTGCCCGCTCTGCCTCCTCCAGTCACACAAAAGAAGCAGGAGAAACAAGAGAACGATGGAGGGCCAGAAAAACCCTCTGGTGGAGAGGCCTTCACAAGACCGCGGCCAGTGTCACTCAGGGCCAAACCCCACACCTGGGCTCTGCTGCGAGGACGCAACAAAAGCTACTCCCTGGGTCACTATTCCGGAGAAAAGACGGCGCAGAACCTAAACGTGATGCTGTCCTCAGAGGTAGGGATGGGCTGCTCCCTGCTGGACATGGACACCGAGGGCCAGAAACGAGACTGCACCGTGCCGCTCTGCCGCATTCAAAGCTCTCCTGCACGGCCCTCTGTCTTTGAGCTGGACAAAGAGTTCCTCTCTTAGAAGTCTCGAGAAGCGAGCTGCTTGCTGGTGGTTGTAGCTTGTTGCTCACAGCCTAGAATGTTCAGAACTTACACACACAGAACTCCTGGAGGGTTTAGAAGCAGGCTGCCTTTGTTTCTATTTGATGAAGTTCTATACAGAGCGATAGAAACGGCTTTGTCGCAGTTCTAGCACATATCTATGTTCTAGACTGCAACAGAGTCTGAGGCTTTTAGAAAATTCCTGAGTCACAGGTGTTCCAGTGTGTTTCTTTCTAGTACACACACACACGGGGTTCTGAAACCAAGGCAGAACTTTCCAGAGATGGATCAGCAGCTCTTCCTGTGATCATCTCGGTGCTTGACTGCTGCCTTTGTTTCCCCATCCTTTCCTCGCTCTTGTCACCCCCCACCCTTTTCCTTTCTCGTTCTATCGGTGCAGCTAAACGTTGACCGCTGCTGCAGCTTTCTCAACACAATACCCTCACCTTTTTATTTATATATATATTTTTATAGGTAATTTAATATGAAGAGACTTGACCTTACCTTAGAAACCAACAGGACACACATTCCATGTCAGTTTCAAAAAAGTGTGATCACGCTTTTAGATTTTTTAAAAAAAAATTTGACTTAAAAATCATGCATGCATGTACCCTTAAAACATTGAACAAAAATATACTATGCCTTGTTTGTAAATATTTCTTTTAATCCTTTATCGGCCTAATGCTGGCAGTTTTGTTTTCTTTTATATGGCATTAATGCTGTTTCATGACTGAGGCAGCAATGCTGCAGTACAGTTTGTTCTTGGGCAATAGATTGGGGTTTTCGAAGAGTCCGTGGAGTAGTCGAGAAATGTGTCTGTTAATTTGTTTTCATGAAGAAAAATGTTTTCTTTTTTGTTTGTTTGTTTGTTTGTTTGTATGCACAAAAACATCTGCCACACAGTCTGAGGAGAGTTTATGATGAGGTTCATGATTACAAATTGTAGTGTAGTCCACACTAGGAAGGGGAAGATGGTGGCATTCACTTAAGAGACACGATTCATGTTTGTATGGTTAAGATTCAGACCAAAATCTTAGGTTTAGGTTTAAACACAGATTGTGGTTTAGGTTCAAATAAAACAGCTGAGCCTTGTTTTAAAGCTCTGTTACACTTCCTTTTGAAACACTTGAGTTTTGCAGTCGGGGTTACTGTCACATATTTAATTGCTGTCCGTGAGTACACAGGAACAGATCACATTTCTGGACTACGTCACGTGTTACCATGAGGCCACGCTGTCTCGAGGTAGATTACATACTGGACCCGGGTAGAGACGCATGTGTGTTTCCACCCAGAATTCCCTGAATGCGGGTAGAAAACTGGAAGTCCTACAAAGCAGACCTGGAATCTTCTCATTTAGGAGTTGTGGTCATGTGTTGATAATATGGAATATGGAGTATTTATAGATGTTTTTTCTTTGTTAAAATTGTCTTTATTTGGCACACTGCAGCAGAGCGGGAGGAACGCATCAGCCGTGAATGTTCATGTGAGGGAAAACCCAAATAAACTGCTTGGATGTTTAGGATTTCTACAAAGCCCATAAATGTGCACACAGGAGAGTGTTTACTTACCGTTTAGAGCATCAACTGCACAAAACTGCAATACTTGTACTGTAAACCTGATAAATGTGTGCCTTTCAGCTTTGTCGTTTAAAAGCTCGGTCACTCAGTCATAGAAATCAGCCCCACTTTGGTTGGTTTGATTCTGTGATAGCGCTGTTACATGTAACTGGTTTTAACGTTTAGTTGAGTCAGGTTGTCGGTTGTATTTGTTTCTCTTTGTACACTTTTTATACAATGTTAAGCAAAAGGTTTTTGCATTTAGAAAATATTCCGAGTCAAGACACCGTTTGCCTTTCATGATCATGCTAGTTTTCCTCAGTATTCACAAAGGGCTTTGAATGTTGATTTGTCAACATGTTTCTTCCAGACTTGTGTGAACTTGACAGTATGCAGAGCTGATAATGAAGGATACATGCTGGACCCAATGCCACCTGTAATTGTTTAGTGAGTAAATTGAATATAAAAGTGGCCCACTCAAGTATTCATTTACTAAAAGATATGAATTTCCAAATGGTGTAAATATAACTGATTGCTCATGTGTATCTCACTGTGGCATTTTATCATTTCCTGTGTTGCTGTGTTTTATGACCACTGAATTCAGAGCAGCTCTAAACACTGTAAAGGGCCTTACTGATCATAGGGCTGTTAAAAATGAAATAAATTAAGGGCATCTTTAAACACCAGCATGCACTGCTGCTATAACACTGCAGACCTGAAACATTCCCAGACACACATGCCAATATATTTTACAAACTGCAGCAATAATATTCGTGAATCCAGACACTGCACATTCAGGCTGTGTGGCTACAGGACCAAAATTCAGCTCTATCAGCACTAAGGCCTCTCAGTCCTCAGGACCAAAACTACTAAATGAACTAGCTGCTAGTGAGGAGTTCCTACAAAGAAGGCGACTCCACATGAAAACGCCACAAAGATCCTCAGTGTGAAGCACTGTAGCTGAAAGACCCACCGCCCTCCCAATCAAATGAGAACTTCCTGTTAAATGCAGTGCTTCCTTTAAATCACTGAACACGTGTCACGCTGACTGTGTCACATTGAGATTAGAGTACGTCTGTTTCAGTGAGCGCTGTTTGATATCATTACAGTATTTGTCATTTCATGCCTGATTGATGAAGAGTATCCAGTTTATCAATGTTTTCAATAAAGTCTAAGTCAAGACTAATGTCATTGGTTTGTCTTTTTTTTCCTTTTTTTTTTTTTCCAAACACAGTTTAAAATATAATTTCAGTTTTTTGTGTCATCTGAAGATGATTTATGGGGATTCAATTCAACTAGTAGTTCTGCATCATGTTCAAAAGTTCCCGAAGATGCTGTGAAACCCTCAAAAAGCTGAAAGCTGCCTCTGCCTACAGAAGCAAACCCACCAAAGTGTGGCACAAAGACTGGATGGTTAAAGGACAGGGCCCAGATTCAAAAGCAAGACAGTAAAGTTCATGAGATGGTCTTTTTTTTCACAGCTATGAATGTGAAAGTAGCAACAACACAAGACTAAAATAATTTCTGACGCAGTGAAGTGAAGCTACTGTTGGTGAAGACCCAAAGCCCAGACCTACACCATCAGAACATGGATTTGTATTATTATTTTCCAAAGTCCTGCCATTCAGGGTAAAAGAAAAAGTAATCATTCTTAGACAACCATCAAAAACACATGGTTTGAAGCTCAACTGCAAGTCAGTCACCCCTGATGACCTCAGAGGGTTCAGTCGCTACTTTTAAATCTTCCTTAACAAGCAAGCTAAGTGCACAGATTATATTATTATACGACACATAAGTATAAAAAATATCGTAGGGTTTTTTCCCCCTATATTTCAAAGTATTATGTAGACTCCTAGCAAAAGTTAAAAAGTCTGACTCTTGAAATCTGAAGGCACCACTATGGTGACTCTGTCCTTTAAGTTTGTATTCACTGTCATCTTGGAATAAATCTAAACTACCACAACAGAGTAACACCAGAAAAAAACCCACTAGAATCAAAGTTGCTGTTTCTGCATATTACTGAGCTTTAATTAAAAAAAACCTATATATTCATGGCTGCACAAATAGGCGTAACACTATACCTTTGTAGGCAATAAAATACAAAGAGGAGAAGACGATGAGAAAACTGCGAAAACACCACCAGCTTTACTGTTTGTACAAAAAGGGTCCAACTTACAGGACGGAGGTCAATTTCAACAGTGGATTTTATTTGTAGTGTGATACATTTGGCACAGTACATTCTCATACAGTTTTCTTTTAGCAGAGTTTTTTTTCTTTACAAAAAGCTCTCTTAAAGACGTTAAAGCAGCATTCGCTGATCCTCACTGCTGGACTGCGTGCGAGAGGTATGAGGAAACAGACATAAGTTGAAAATATATCTTGACCATGTGTGAACGAGCACACCAGATTGCAATAATATTTTTATGATTTATGGAGAGGAAAAGCTGCCTGTGAGTTCAGAATATTTTGCCATGAATAGAAAAAATTTAAAAAAATACTCTTTAAGTTTAAAAAAACAAAAGCAATCCTCTTCCGGTGAACGTGAAAGTTTGCCTTCATATGAGGCCTTTAATGCTTTGTACAATAAAGTGCATCACTTTTACTTGCACGGATGTGTGTGGCTGTGGCCGTCGAGGTAGCGATGGATATTTAAAGCTGAAGGGATGGCCGATGCTGTGTCTGCAGAAAAGAGAATAGAATTCAACTTTATTGTCATTGCACATGTCACAAGTACAAGGCAACGAAATGCAGAGAGAAGGAAATCAGCAAACGGAGCAGTTCTGTTTTGTCTCTCTAAAAGATCTAAATATGGTGAAAAGGGTGGGGTGAGCTGGGGTAATTACTGTCATCATGTACAGACTCATGATAGGATTACTCCTCCAGGGTGTTTCTTTCCCCTCCCTCCCTCTATCTCAAAGCCTCGGGCGATTGTGATGTGACAAATGATACTAGACGTCTCATCCGGGTGATCTTTTGTTGCAGCAGTATTGTTGGTCATCAACAATACTCTCCAACGGGTCGGTGTGCAGGCAACTAAAACACACACCTGCAACAGTTTCTCACAGATATGGCGGCTTTGCGCTGTGGCAGGAATCTGCCTATGTGGTAACGATCTACAGGAGCTACATACATCTCTACCCTGCAGCCGGCACGACATGATACGATGCAATGATGTGATATGAGGGAATGTGTTTTCATACCTGTGTTGTCAGAGGGTAGTGACGCATTTCAGAGAGCTGCGGGCGCTGTGCTTGCCCTGCAGAGGGAGGACGATCTGAGCTTGGAGGCAGTATTCTTCTCTGTGATTCAGGTCCTTCAGAGTCAGCTTGTGAGAACAGCACTTCATGTCAAACACCTCCTAAAGGAGAGAGAGATAAAGAGAGAGACAGTGAGTGTCCACCAGCCCTCAGCGGTAACGGGCGGCTGGAAGCAACAGGTGGTGCAGTTTGACAGAAAATTTCAAGAACTACAGGCGGAAAAAATGCAAATTGTTTTGTTCTTCTTTTTGTTGTTGTTCTTGTTTTGTCAATCATCTTTTGCTGCTCTTCCTCTTCTTCCTTCTCTATTTTGGAACTGTGCACCGATTCCACTGTAACCTTTCAATTTTATTTGTTCTAAGCTCCGGGGGAAAAAAAACAAATTAATTTTTGCATACTGCTGTGACGGCAACTGTTTGTGTTTGTGGAAAAAAAACTGCACGCCACCTTCTCTAAAGTGAGTATTTGAGTGTCACAAACAGCGAGGAATGAATTGACAATGAATAATTTACTAATGTTTACAGTGAAACCTGGAGAAAAAAAGATGCAATCCGGTGCTTATCATAGAGAAAATGCAGCGATTATTGATTATTATTTCATTCTTAAATGTTGAAACGTGTGCTAAAATTGGGGAAATGTAGAGATTTCAGCATGTTCAGCTGTTCTGACTTAAATTCCCAATTAAGTGTGATTAATTTATCACAAGTGCACAAATCAAACACAGTTTTCCCATGGAATTACATTCAGGATGTAATGAGTCTAAAATAAACCCGGCCTAATCAGTGTGGAGATGGATGTGCAGCAGGGTGTTTGGTGTGAGTGTGTGTGCGTACTTCTTCTCCACTGGGGTGTGTTAAGTAGATCTTGTAGTACAAATTGCTGTGCAGCTTCCGGACCAGGTCTCGGGGGGGCTTCACTCGGACCACAATGGCTGGTTGTTCGGTTACATTCAGTCTCAGCACAGGGGGGCTGATTTTGGCTGCATGGGAAACAAATTTCTTTGAGCTTATCCGCAGAGCGATGAACACACAGTTGTGAGAGCGTGAAGCAACGCAGAGGAAAAGAGAGGAAGCAGCGGAGAGTATGCTACTGTTGTTTTTAACTTAGGGAAGTCTAAAGAAGTCATGTGACTGTGATTGGATTGCAAGACAATGCAACCTGAACTTTGGAGCTTTTTTTTTATCTGACATTAGTTATATATAGTTTGGAGAGAGCATTTTTTAACTTAACTTAGATCTTTGTTATGCTCTATTTAAATAGCTGAACCAGCTCATGAGTGTCTGTGCACCTGGCTTCAGGCTGTGCTTGCTGCCATACGTTCAGCATCAGTTTGGGGAAGTGAGAACGAACGGAAAGAGGATGCAGACAATGATGCGAGAAGTTGTGTAAACACTCACTGTCCCAACGCGGGCTGAATCTGGGGGAGAGGGCCCAGGCTGATTTGCTGCTGGTGGCCACAGACACAGCACCAACTCTGGCGTAGTACCACTCTCTGGGCTCAGAGGTCATGTCGCTGAGGTCACAGTGGTGCTTCCGGATCTTTTGACAGCCTGGCACATCGATCCACTCGGGCTCGCCATAACTGAGGGAGAAGACATAAACACAGAGGATGGTTATTTCATCCTATGCAACCTACCCAGCATCCTACTGAGGGTGCTGGAATAATATTAACACAGATACTCTGACTCTGATACTCAGATTAGAAATATTCTACACTCCAATTGGATTCATGTTAAACATTCACATCTTTTCTAGAGTTCTGCTGCTGACATCTCACAGATTCAGAAGCTGCAGGTTTCCGAAATTCATTGAACCAACAGCAAGAAGATCAAAACTACATTTCAAGTTTGAAAAACGTCGTCATGAATTCCCTCTTACTTTTGCAGTTTTGCTTCCACCACCATAAAATCACACTTCCTCCACAGCTCTCTCTCTCTCGGTGTACTTCGAGACCAGTTTCCGATCTCAAATCTCAGTTTTCTGCATTATTCGCTGGCTTATTCGCACCAATCTACTCTTGTGTTCAGCGCTGTCGGCCGCTGTTTTGTTTAGTCTTTTTCAAAAATGACCGCTGACAAGAAAGCCTCATTTCTGCTGTTCAATACCGAAGAAATGTAAACTTTTACAAATTATGCCAAACTGCAAAGGCTTAGTTGTGTCTCTAATAAAAACCTCCATAACTTTGCTCTGCTTCACTTCAGCAGCATCAGGTAATGTTCATATATTGATTCATGATTTTCTTCCGTTTTTGATCTGCTGCAGATTATTTTAAGGCGGTTATCTGCTATAAAAAGCCAGGACTCGAAAATCTCCTTCATGTTTGTCTTTGGTTTATCCTCCGTTACAAAGGTGTCTGCTGTGATGCTTACACCTCCGATGAAGTCTGACAAGTGTCAGCTTTGTTTTTATACCTAGATACTAAAAAATATGGATATGTACTGACAAATGATCAGAATTATGTTTCTGACTGTCTCAGTGAAAATTGAATCGAATCAAATCGAAACCAGACCAAGCGAAACAAAACCGAATATAGAAAACAAAACAAAAACCAAACCCAACCCCAAAAAAAAACAAAAAAAAAAAACAAGGCAAGAACCTCCGGGCAACAAGCAAGAACTTAACCCAAGGAAGCCAAACCAAGAAAGTCCAACCTAAACGCAAAAAAACTCAATTGCCGAAAAAACAACAAAAAAGAAAAAAAGAACAAAAAAAAAGCAAAAAAAGCAAAGGTTCCCCGCCGAAAGAAAGCCTTTAATTTGAAAATTTGCAAGACCATGAAGGACAAAAAAGTCTAAAAGACTCTTGCGTACTTAAAACTAGGCAAAACCACGCACCTGCACGTGTGTGTGTGTGTGTGTCCTCTCACATCTTCCACTGGACGTTGTACTGCAGAGAAGAGTTCGTGGTGGGTGGAGTCCAGTTCAGGATGTTTTTATAGTCCACTGAGTCAAACCTCACCTGGCTGGGTCGAGGCAGTATCACTGGAAGTGTGAAAACATAATGAAGAACAGTCTGGGTTTATGCAAAGAGAATGTCCATACTAATGTGTATTATTCAGAAACATAGTAAAGATAATGATCACATACACAGAATAATAGTATAGTAAATACTGTAAAGGTAAATGACAACATATAAAATCTGTTAATTTTACACTCTGAAAGGCACTGAACCCCAGAATTTAGTAAGAGTTTTCGAAGCTTTTCACATTACGCTGCATGGATTTTATAGAGGGCAACTTGCAAAGAAGAAGATGCTTTTAACATTTCTAAAAGATCAACAGCAGCTCCTGTCCAAACTTAACACACTACAGTTAAATTATTAGTAAAAATAAATAAATAAAAATAAAATAAAATAAAACGAACACACAAAACAATACAAATAATTCTCATGGCAAAAATCATCTTTTTCTCACACCTTTGTCTGTTGTTCTTTCTGAACAACCACAGCAGCGTCGGACCAACTTTGTTTTCACTCCCAACAATAACATTACACTTCATTCTTTATTTCAACAAGTCTAGACTTTGATAATCACTCAAAAAGTGTGTTTCAGTTGTTCAGGATTTACTAATGAATTTTAGACTAGGGAAAAGGTAATGAAAAAGTAGATTTCTAGCAGAAGATGCTGTAAGTTCTGCTATTGGTTGGTTTGGTTTTCTGTGGCACCAGTAAAGTTATACTTCTTGGTTTCATTATGGGAGCAGTGAGGTGAGGCAGATGTAAATCAGCCTAACTTTAGATCAAGAACAGCCCTAAACCACATGTTTTACATGGAAATAAAAATACAGAGAAATAAATTCTAAGAAGTTACCTTGTGCTGTGACAGAGATGCCCAAGTTGCCCAGCAGCGCTGCTCCAAGCAGGAGAGATGTCATGGTGTTTATGTGGTTTGTGGACGACCAACGTGCAAATGTTCACAACGAGCCACACTGGACTGGTGCTGTTGGAAACACCCTTGCCTTTAACATGCCATCAACTTCCCCCTTCCCCTTCCTTTTATGGCATTTAGGAGACAGATATAGGATATAATGTTACTTATTTGATGTAATAAGATGTTTTTTTTTCCTGTGTTTTTTACAAATCGTACAAAAGGATCCAAAACAAAAAAGTGTCAGATCACGTTACTTGTGTGCCACCCAAATGTGTGCTAAAGTATTGAATATCATGACTTTTCTGGGTCATTCCTGCCGAAGTCAATTTTAAAACACAAAAGACACAAAGCTCTTACAATAGCAGTAAACCTGAGGATACTTGAGTCCCCCCTCATTCTTTGTATTCTGCTAGGAAAATGGGTTTACTGAAACTCCTTCTAAACTGCTTTTACTGCATCAGCAGTGTGTTTGGGATTTCGGTCATGCTTAAAAATTAAGCTGTTGCCAATCTGATGCTTGCGATGTATTGTTGGTACCACAATCTGATGGCACCTTTCTGTGTTCATTATTCCATTTTTTAGCAGTGCAACTTCTTTTTCAGCACTTATCCAGTTTCCTCAATTTTTTTAGGGACAGAAGTTTTCACCTTATAGCTCTTTACAAATCACTTTGTTGGCAGAAAATACCACTTTATGCCTGCCAAACTGTTATCTTTGGCATTTTTGTATATTCACTAAAGAAATCAGATTGTATGCCTTTGTGATAGGCTGGCAATAACAAAGTGTAGAAGGCTCTGATTTAAAACTGGCCAATTGATAAGTGTGGGCACGTTCAAGGACTGGACTAAAATTTGAAAATAAAAAAAATTGGGTGAAAAACATCAACACAACTTAAAATTTCAATATTTTGTTTGGCAAAATTGTGTCAATACAAGGACACCAAATATTGATATTTTATTAAATAAATTAAAATACTCTGGGAATACTACTCCTTCCGAGATAACATTAGCTAAGGAAACTTATTCGAAGCTAATGGCTTAGACACCCCAGCAAAAATAGGACAGCAACTTCATTGCATCTAGAATAAGTGGCTGCGTGGTGACTGTGTTGAATTTCTTCACATTCTGTGACAGATTGTGGCGACTAAATAGTTGTCCAAAGCCATTCAACGGGTTACCTGATAAGAGGTGAACTTTCCAAAAGAAGTCGCTGTCTGCCTTGGATTGACTAAAATCACTTTCAGGGAGATTGTTGAAGGTTTGCAAATAAATATGGTCTATTTTCTAAATGCAGACAGTTTTCTAACATGTTGCCATCTTTGTCAGTGAGCACAACGTGAGGGAACTCAACTGGCTGGCTGTTGGTTGCATTCTGGTTACATTACTGTATAACAGGAAACTTGGTCAGCATATTGGAAAATGTTAAAAGTCACATTAATTTCATATTGTGAGTGAAATATTGTGCTAATAATAATAATAATAATAATAATAATAATGTGGGTGTCTGGTGATTCCCACCTCATCTAAAAATAAATGAAAAACCAGCCAATATTGAAGCAAAAACACAGACATGGTCATTTAGAAAGACTGGAGAATTTAAGTAATCTATTGCTCAAGATCACTTTGTTTGTTTGTTTGTTTGTTTTTTAAAATACAAGAAACTCTGGCTCTTTAGAAGAATTGGGTTAACTCACTACTTTTGCACAGTTCTGTATAATGCAGTGCATTGTGTGAAATGGTGCATTTCCCATTAATCTCAGTGTCAACATGGAAACACCTTTAGAAACCCAGATGTAGGTTACTCCTGCTAAGGCCTTTGTTGGTTCCCTGTCGTTCAGGAGGATTACCACACTGCCCCATTTCTGGTCTACCCAGTTATAAGCAATGCTAATCCTTGTGTAAGAGTTTACTGGAAATCTGTTACATAATGATTTCCTATGCATGACCTGCCCCTTTTCATCACACTTCATATTTCCACTCTGTGTTCATTATCAGGTATATTGCCACCAGTGAGTATTTATAGCAGCTGTTATTAGGTAATGCAGAACATGAACCTATGCAAATTACTTTATTATTTTATTTGACATTATTGCAGCTAGACTTCATCTTTTCTTTTTCTTCATAATTTAGCACAGGGGCAAACCCTTCAGCAGCCTTTCAGGATTTGAAAAATATTAATTTAATTTAAAACAAAACAAAATATAAAACGTTTTTTTATACTAATTAACTGGTATACCGATAACTGGTTACACTCTACTACATATTAAAGTAGTTGCGAAAAACGTAAGTGGAAATTAACATTTGAAATAGTTAAAAGTAATTGAAAAAAAAATGAAACATACTGTTTAACAACAAATTTAAAGCTGAAAGCTACAATTTGTGGATATGCAGATGAAAGTTTGAAAAAAGTAACAAATACATATTAAGCAGCTACATGGTATGTGTAAATGTTAAGCTCATTTAATTTGTTAGCTATTAATATTGAATGTGGTAAAAGTGTCATGGACAATATGTTCCTGGAAGTAATAAATAAGCAACTAATTAACTACGTATGTAAAGAAATGGCAAAAGTTAAACATAGCAGTAAAATGTGTAAGCTTATATCTATTGAATCAAATAGTGTTTCAATAAACAAAGTATATGCAACACATGAGATAGCATCTAAAAGTAAAAACAAATAACAAAACAAAATAAGAAGTTGAATAAAGTAAAGGATAAATTCTGGATACTAGTAATAGATCAATGGAGAAAAGATGAAACGCATTTGGTAAAATATTAAAGCAGGTAAAACAGACAAACATACGCACTTCAAAAGCTAATATTAGATGTCAGCAAAGTAGCCTAATAAGTAGCAAATAGTAAAAGCTTAAATGCTGTGGGTGAAAGGTTAAAGTAGCTGAGAGCAAGAAATATACAAATGTAAATTACATCCATTGAATTTTGAAGTTAAAAGCAAATCGAACACACCAACTCTGAAATCGTGATTAAAAAAACAAAACAAACCTCTTAAAGTATCTGAATTTATAAGTTTTAGTCATTCAGGCCTTTTTGTCTTTAACACATTCTTGCAGTCGAATTGGTGTCTCACTGGGCTTTATAGATATCTGCAGCTGGGTATCATTGCATATCAGTGAAGATGTACAACACTGCCTAAAACATGTATAATGTAAATACAACTGGGCCTGGTACAAAACCCTGTGGAACTCCTTAATTAACCTTAGGGTGTTAAAAGCTCCATTTATTTGAACAAGTCTAATGGAGTCTAATAGCTTTTTAAAGCTCTTAAGAATAAAGGCTATGAGTACTTGCTTCTAAAAGTAATGGTTAAATGGTGACACTATAAGGTAGCAACAAGGGCCTAAAAGTAATGTGTGAAAAGTGCAGCAGGCAAATGGTTAAATGGGTGAAATTAATAGAGAATAAAAAGGCAACAGTAGCATTTAAATAAATGGATAAATGGTAAAGAGTTAAAAGTTACGGTTAAAAGATCTGGTTATAATTGGTAATAGTGGCATTTTGTTTTAAGAAGAAGGATGAATACAAACAGGCTGTAATTGACATAAAATACATTTTGGCTATATCAACTTTGTTAAAACTAAATTTCAACTGAAATTGATTTCAGCACATAAAACACGTTTTTTTTAACTTGGATTTGGTTTTGCAGGAATTCATCTGATAAACCTGTGAAGACACAGATAATGAAATCTGTTACCGGCAGAATAAAAAGAAGGTGTCCATTTTACCCACACAAAGCAAAGAGGAAGGAAACACAACAGACACACAAACACAAAGGAGGTCCCCCGCCTGTTACTGGTGTTACTGGATGCCGAGGAACAGCTTGGGCAGCTTAAATGTCAAAATACCACAGGCATGAGCATTTCTTCCCTTACATGGTGACAAAAACTGATAAAGTGATTTATACTACTACTGTAGGCCCCACTACAATAAACAATCAACATAATGACACTGCAAATGTCAACTTCCCTTCCTTAATGCGTAATATCCACGTACAGTAACAGCATAAAATTGTTGCATGATGTTTGACATTAACGTCAGTTAATCTGTCACATAGATTAACTGCCTTTATAAGAACAGGACAGATGCAAATTCACACAGTTCCACAATTTATTGAAATTGCACAACGGAGACCAGACAAGTGCATTAAACGGCATTAGTAAATTGGACATAATGAAATAACCACATTGTATTACTTTTTATATATGAAGTATGTTATTACAAGGGATAATCAGATAAAAAGCACAGCATTATTGGGTATAGAGCATGTCACTGTAATGAGTTCTAGGTTTGATTGTAGCTGGACCTTCACAGCATGCCATTTTCACTATTCTCCATTGTCTGTTTAAGAAAGGCACATTAAAAAAATAATCTAGTGCAAGGGTTGAATTGTTTGGCAAGTTAAAATAAACAAACAATAAACAAAAACATCACATAAGAACAAACTGCAATCATACAGTCCCTTTAAACTGGTAATTAGACCCAACCTTTGTCATGTGAAATTTAAGGACAATAAAATGTTGCACAAAAAAAGAATAAACAAGAAAAAGCACATTCTTCCTGAAAATTGAAAAACCAAAGCAGAAAAGTGTTGTAAGTGCTTTTGTTTATTAGATCAGCTAATGTAAGGTTCCACAGCTGTTCTGGTAGTAACTAAAAAACTTTTTCTATAACTGTTAGTCTACCAGTGTGTGGAGGAGTAAAACGGCGAATTACAGTAACTGACTTGCATTACTGTACAGATTAATTCGTTTCAGTATTTGATTGTTATACCTGATTAAGTTCCAACTTTTCAAAGATGCCCAGTGTGCTGGCCCAAAGTTGGGTATAAGAACATGAGTTCAGTTTGTTATTTGCCTAATAAATAACAATATGATTTTTAGTTTTACATAAGTGTAACAAATTTATAAAAATGTGTGACTTCTAGTTTTTAATGACAGGTGGTCTAAGAAATTTGTTAAGCACCATTACATTTTTTGTTGTGCAACAAAAAGCATTTTACATTTGAATTTTTTGCTGTTTGTAAAGAAAAAAACAAAACAAATCATACATTTCCCATATATTCCCTTCAACCACATCTTCCATGAAGAAAAGCTAAAGCACACGCCTCATTTAATGTATAAATGTCATAATATACAAACTGATTTCTAACTAATATAACACAAGCATAAAAGGGAAAGAAATGAATCAGATAGAAAAAGAAAGTGCAAGTAATCATCAAGAGTCTCCAGAGCAAATCCAGTATTCTGACTACCTGGCTCAATAACTGCCAAATATGCTTGTATATGAGATGCCCACAGATATATGGACTGTATTACACAAATATTTACAGTGTGTGTTATTGTATAGGAGCCACCATTCATTTTTGGATGCGTCTGATTATTGGATGGTTTCTGTCACCCTGATGATCTATGATGTAAGGCAGGAATGTAAACAGGATTTCAATTTCCTCTTTACGTCTTTTAAGCCCAAAGTTCCCTGTAACATTTCAAGTGCTTCCACTACTGAGGCCTCGTCATGAGGAAAAAGATGAAATTAATAGTTTTACTTTACAATTCTTTTAAATGGGATTTAGCCTGTGCAGAAACATAACATAATAATGCATTCAGCTTTTCTATTAACCCTGACTAAGACAAATAACCCTTACAGGTAAACAGGTAGATTTCCAGCATAAGAAGCTCCTCAGTCTAATCGCACATATGGGCACTCATACTGATCAGGCATTTACACGTGTCACCAAGTCTTTTCACATTTTCAAAATGTGAGATCCTGTGAACAACATCTGGTGCTAACTTATATGTAGCCTTACATTTACTCAGATGTGACTGGGCCTCGGTAGCCCTTAGCCAATTCATCTGGACCCAGCGCCACCACCACTGTATCACGCCTCTCATAACCAGAACCAGGATCCTCATCACCAGAACCAGGATCCTCATCACCTAAATCGGTGTTGCCTACCATGTAACCAGGACCCTCCCCATTTGGTTGCCCCTCCTCTATGACATTAGACATATCTCCATTGTCCGACACCCCGATGGGCAAGCGGAAGTCATAATCGGTAATTCCGGTCCTGTCCTCCTCTTCTTTCTGTGGGAGTAAAGGTGTGGGCGAGGAAGGCTCCACTTCATCACACCTCTCTAAACACTCCACAGGGTCAACAGTCACCGATTCGGGTGTACTCGTGTTCCAGATAGAGGGTTTAGGGATCTAGACACAAAGAACAACTACTCAGTATGTGCTGAAATTTAAATCCCCCTCCACCTTCAGTGGGGATACATTATTTTAACAACTACAAACTTTAAATAACTCCTGTGTAATGTAATTAGAGCTGGTAGATTGAGATTACCCAAGGTTTGATGAAAGAAGAAGTTCTAGGCTTGGTAAGTTTTTGGTATGCCATGAACAGGATCACCCCGAATGTAGCCACAGCCAGTATAACACTCACGACGTAGACGGCGGTAAAATCTGGACAAGACAGAGAAATAGAGGGAGAATTTCTTTTTCTTTTTTCTTTTACAGTAAAACAGCTGTACACAAATACACACACCCACCCCTGTGGTAGCTCCATAAAACGTATAAAATATGGATGTAGCTTTTGCATCTATAAAGTAAAGCCAGCGCCAAAGTGCCTTAAATCTGTGGTTGATACCTGTGGTTGTAAAAAGACTTCTGGTCCTACAGAAGACAATGGGAAACCAACTTTTCACTTATTTCCTGTTGACATACTGAATAAAAGTCCAATTTATAAATCCTGGTCGCACTATGAAACAAGCTTTATCCACAGAATTCCAACAGGCTGACAACTCAGGCCTCAAATGCCTGAATTGCTCAACTGACATCATGGTGCTGATTACATCTGATTATTCAAATAAAACGAGAAACTTGTGACTGATGACTGTTCATTCTCATTCTGACAGGATGAGCCCATGATGCTAACAAGTTCCCGCTTCCTCTGAAACACCTCCTCCTCCTCCTTAAACTCCAGTGTTGATTACATCTTTTAAACTGTCTATAGGTAGCTCAGATTTATTGTGCTCTCCTAAACTTTTCTTTTTCTTTTTAGTTAAATAACAGAAAAGAATGTCATTAATCAAAGGAAGTCACTGCCTGAGGGATATAACCCCCCCCCCCCAAAAAAAAAAAACCCCCAAAAACCTTTGGTTCCCATTTTGTTAGTTTTAAATGTCTTTATTTTAATGACTATCACCTGATAAAGGTAATTTTCCTTGCTTGTTTTTTGCAAGCTCATTTTTGTTAAACCAGCTTTTTTCAAATCTACTCAGGAATTTTTTTTCCTAATATTTTGATGAGCTGTTTAAAACCCAGACAGAATACCATGGGTGCAGTGTTTCATGGAAATGTCGTTGCACTCACACTACAAACAACGTGCAGTCACATGAAAAACAGCGTGATTGGAATTGAAGCCATGTTGTTAGAGGCTGTGTTCAGTTCTTCTTACCATCTCTTATTTTACACAAAAGAAAAGGTAGGCGTAAGAAATGTCAACTGTGCTCCCCACAATGGCAGTTTGAGTAAATCATAAATTGTTTACTGCTCTTAAGAAAAGCGATGAGAAAACCTTAAGAAACAAGAAAGAAAGAAAAGATTTTACTCAACTGCTTTGTAATGGTTTGTGGAATGGCTCGGCACAGTAGAGTTGTGTAGATTTAACCAATATTCCTTGTGATGTTAGTCCGGTGATGTTCACACAGTGTTCCTGTTGTGCTGCATCCACTGGCAGTGTCTTCTCACACACTCTTTCTTCACAGTTAAATGAGTAGGTCTGCACACACAAGAATTTTGAATAAAATATAACATAAAATATAACAACAAATATAACACCGACACAAATATTTTTACACGAGGCCAGGAAATGTTATGTGTATGGCTGACTATGACAGCAAAGTATCATATAATATGTATTTACTCTCCTTTTCAAATCCACCCAAAAAACTATTAAAAAAATAAAATAATGGGATGTCTAATGGGATGTCATACCAACAGGCTAAGAAACAAAGACGTATTTATGAATTTGAGATCCAAAATTGAGCTTTACAGCAGAAAAATATTTTGTTACAAGCAGGAAGAAGAAGAAATAAATCAAACATAAAAATGTCTATTTTATGCCACTATATTTCTGAGTTTAGCTGTGTTATAGTAAAGACATGACCAGTATTATGTTTTCAAAGGGCCTTAACAAAAAACAAACCAAAATGCAGGAGCTTGCTTAGTGTTCTTCCTACAAAAAAATTTGGTGTGCAACAAAAAGCACTTTGCTTTTTAACGCATTCGTTATAAGTGAGATTTAATTGACTCTAGTTTAAAATACACTTTATGAATTATGCTCATGCTACCTCCCCAAAGGCGCAATTCAAAACTGATGCTAACATATTTCTAGCAGCTAACGAGACAAAACGATTTCCTGACATTGGTGAAATCCAAAGTTTCTGGATAGCTAGCAACATTTTCTTGGCATTAACTAGTGATGCAGCATCAGTATGTCCTGTTTCTGATGACCACATATGAAATTTTTTTTTACTGTTTGTTCAACTTTGTAACAATTCCTTAATATGTTTGCTTTAAAGGAGAAAAGAAAAAGAAAAAAGGAAGACAGAACTGACCTGATTGAGGATCTTGACTTTAAAGAAAGAATCCAGGCTGTCATTGTTTTTAAAACATTTCTTTCTATTTTTTTTCATCTTTTGGCAATGAAAGAAAATGGGATTCTCAAAGCTGATATGGACCTTGTTATCTCGCTGGGCCGTGACGTTAACAGGTGGAAGATCCAAATAACCTGGAAACCAACAGGACCAACAAGTTTTAATCAGAAGTCACTTTTGATTACAAGTACGGTCAGAAGTTCAGCATTTGATCAAATGTTACCCATCCCTTCTTGAGCTATGGTGTTTAATAATGAACCTTACTATATCACAATTAACGTGACCTTTTGAATTTGAGATATTATGTCTGTGTGAA